CTGCGGGCACGCGCAATGCGCGATTCTGGTAGGATGTCATATGACACCCTCCCGCAGTGGTGTATTTTGGTTTTGTGCTGCCCTAGGCAAGACTAAAATCGCGCCCCCCATCTAAATTTTCCCCACCCCTTCCTGTTTAGGGCCCACCCCTTCATCTGTAAACTCCACCCCTTCCACTTTAGGCTCCACCTCTTCCTATTAGAGCTCCACCCCAGGAGATGGTCAGAGACTGAGGACAGAATACAGGAGACGGTCAGAGACTGCAGACAGGATACAGGAGAGAGTCCCCACAACCCCTCCCCTTGCATCAGGGTCCCCAAGTTCCCCCTCCTTAAATCAGGGTCACCGGAGTCCCCCCTCAACATTAGGGTCCAAACCTCCCCCAATAAATCAGGATCCCCTTTAAATCATGGTCTCCAGAGTCGTCCCACCTTATGTGCATCAGAGTCCCCATAGCCTAACCCCTTATATCAGGGTCCCCCAGAGCCCCCTCCTTAAATTAGGTTTCCCAGAGTCCTCCCTCCTTATATTAGGATCCCAAAAGTCCCCCACCCCAATACATCAGGGTCAGTCCTTTACATCATGGTCTCCAAAGTCCCCACACCTTACATCAGGGTCCCCATAGGCATTTCCTTTACATCATGGTCCCCCAGAGCCCCCCTCCTTAAATTCGGGTTCCCATAGTCCCTACCACTTACATCAGGGTCCCTAGAGTCCCCACCAATACATCAGGGATCACCTTTACATCATGGTCTCCAGAGTCCCCCCACCCATAGACCCTCCCCATACATCAGGGTCCCCCAGAGACCCAGATCCCCCTCCTTAAATAAGTTCCCCTCTTCCGGTACATCAGGGTCCCAAAAGTGCTCACAATACATCAGGGTCCCCCTATACATCATGGTCTTCAGAGTCCCCCACCATCAGGGTTCCTAGAGCCCATTCTCTTTAATTTGGTCCCCAAAAATGGACCCTTACCTCAGGGTCCATTGTCCCTTACCTCAGGGTCCATTCCATTAATTCCTCCAGGCAGCTACAGGAGCTGGAAGAAGTCCTGTCCTTGCCGCCCTCCTCCTCTGAATGTCATGGCCTGGGGGCGGGGCAAGCGCCTGATTGGTTGCTAGGACCACTGATGTCCTAGCAACCAATCACATGCTTTTCCCGCCCCCACTAGACCTGAAAATGACAACACAGGGCAGTGGCATGGGAAGCCGCCCCACCACCCGAACACAGCAGAGCCACGCCCCATCCAAGCACGCATGAGAATGCCGCCCCTCCTGAACACAGCCATGCCTGCCCGAGCACAGCCGAGCTGTCCCCCGATTGAGCACACACGAGAACGCCCCCCCCCCTCCAGAACACACATGAGAATGCCCCCCCCGCTCAAGCACAGCCGAGCTTCCCCCCCCGCCCAAGCATACACAAGCCTGCCCCCCCTTCCCAAACACAGCTGAGCCTACACCCCCCTCCCAAACACAGCCAAGCCTGCACCCTTTTCCCGAACACAGCCAAGCCCGCCCCTCTGCCCGAGCACGCACGAGCCCGCCCTCCCTCCTGACCACAGCCGAGCCTCCCCCCCTCCCGACCACAGCCGAGCCCGTCCCCCCGCCCGAACACACACGAGACGGTCCCTTCTGCCTGGGGGCGATGCCGCCCCCCTGAAAAATGCCGCCCAAGGCAGCTGCCTTGTTTGCGTCACAGCAGATACGCCCCTGCCCTCCCAGAGGGATAAAGTGTTCACCCGGCCATCATTTGATTATAGGCCGGTCAGCAAGTGGTTAAGATTAAATGGCTTCTCCTCCAAATTCATTGAGTGTCCACGTGTCTTTTTACACCTCCTTAGACTGAATAGTGTATTCCCTATGCTAGAATCTCCATTGAGGTATTTGAATATCGCTACTTTACATTTTTCAACATTAAACCTCATTTGCTATGTATTTGCCCACCTTATTATTTTATTGAGGTCTTCCTGTATGATTTCTATATCTTCCTGTGATATTATTGCCCTACTTAGCCTTGTTTCATCAGCAAACACTGATATTGAGCTATGTATACCAACCTTTATATCATTTACAAAAAACATTAAACAGAATTAGTCCCAGGACAGAGCCCTGGGGTACCCCACTTACCACTTCAGACCAGTCTGAGTACTGACTATTTATCACCACACGTTGGATGCGCTCTTGTAACCAGTTTTCTATCCATAAACAAAACCTGTGGTCCATGTCTACACACCGCAGTTTGTAAATTAAGCGTTTATGGGGGACTGTATCGAACACTATCGCAAAATCCAGATACACCAAATCCACCGCTCTTCCTTTATCAAGATGGCAGCTCACTTCCTCATAGAATGTTAACAGATTGGTTTGGCAAGAATGATAATAATAATAATAAGACGAAGAAGAAGAATATGTGCTGATTTTACTGTTTTCTTCTGCAAATTCTTGGATATAATTCCTTAGTATCCCCTCCAATAGTTTACATACTATTGATGTTAGACTGACTGGTTGCAGCAAAGTTCAGTTGCAGGGGCCCCTGAGGACGATCATGATGCAGGGTTCGCTGTCACTGTCAGCCAGTCTATCTACTCTGCATCTTATTTCATAGTATTTTCTAATCTGTCATGCATCCAGACCTTTCACTACCAGAAGTGGCTGTCTGATGCCTACCCTAGCTCTAGCCTATGCTGATTATTGAACCCTAAGCTAAAGCTAGCTATAGAATCCCAGACCAGAAGGGACAGTGTTAACGAAAATAATAAGAGCTGTATGTAAACACTCTTGTAATAGACAGTAGACATGTGCAGAGTGGAAAAAAATTATTTTAGTTTCGGATCAATGTGGATTCAAATTATTCGAATCAATTTCAAATTGAAAATATTGAATCAATCCAAATTGATTGTGAAGAATAGCTGGTTCTATTCTATTAGAAATTTGAATTTCAGCAGACGGTTATAGTCTTTCTGTTTTATTTTATTCTAATCCAGGGGTGGGCAAACTTTTTGACTTGAGGGCCGCAATGGGTTCATATATTGGACCCAGGGGCCGGACCAAGAGTAGATGAATGATGTGTATGTGTCATCCATAGTAAGTATAGTAATATTCCCCCATAGTAAGCATAGTAATTCATCCCCTATAGTAATTCATCCCCCATATAGTAATTCATCCCCCATAGTAATTCATCCCCCATATAGTAATTCATCCCCCATAGTAATTCATCCCCCATATAGTAATTCATCCCCCATAGTAATTCATCCCCCATAGTAATTCATCCCCCATATAGTAATTCATCCCCCATAGTAATTCATCCCCCATATAGTAATTCATCCCCCATATAGTAATTAATCCCCCATATAGTAATTCATCCCCCATAGTAATTCATCCCCCATAGTAATTCATCCCCCCATATAGTAATTCATCCCCCATATTAATTCATCCCCCATATAGTAATTCATCCCCCATAGTAATTCATCCCCCATATAGTAATTCATCCCCCATAGTAATTCATCCCCCATATAGTAATTCATCCCCCATAGTAATTCATCCCCCCTATAGTAATTCATTCCCCATATTAATTCATCCACCATATTAAGTCCCCAAGTCCCCCGTGTGTCAATTCACTTACCTTTGCTCCGCGCGTTCCTCTCGCCGTGTTCCCGCGCCGTTCCGGTGTAGCATTGCTGTTCTAATCTGTTCTATTTTTTGTATTCTATTCATTTTCTTCTGTTCTATTCAATTTTTTTTGAAAATGTGTTCTACAAATTGTTTTACTCTATTCTTTTATATTTTTTTGAAAATCAAATTTCAGAAGATGGCTATATTCTTTTTACTTTATTCTGTTCTATTCCTTTATTTTCTATTCTATTTCTTTTATTTTCTATTCCATTCTATTTTGTTCTATTCTTTTTTAAATTTAAATTACAGAAGATGGCTATATTCTAACAGTAATACACATAGTCTTTGAAGTTTATAATTCGATTTAGATTCGATTCTAATTTTGTTTTGTTATTTCGGATTTGTTGAATATATTCCTACTGTGATTTGGATAAATCTAAATCTCTAAATAACAAAAATGTCATCCAAATTTCACTTCGGAACAAAACAACCTGCACATGTCTAATAGACAGGTTCACCTATTAACATACAGCAAGGCAACCACTACATACAGCACTACTACACTACACTATACTACTACTGTAGCACAGACCTAACTATCTAGCACTATGCATGTGAGATAATACCAATAGGTCAGAGATAAATCTAGTCACAATGATTTAGATAATACAAAATAAAAAAGAAATACTAGTGACTTCGCTAGCCTCATCCAAACCTCTTCAGCTCACTAAAAAGGTCCAGAAACATGAAAGAGTTCAGAAACATATGACAGTCCAGAGGCATTAAAATGTCTATAAGCACAATAGTGACTACAGCTCCTCAAAGTGCCGCCGGCTTCATATTGGAACCAAGAGCATGCACTATGTGTGTCAGGAATGGACTGGCCAGCAATAGTGGGACTCAGCTGCCTTATAAGCTGCAGTACCAGGGCTGGCCAGCGGGTGCTCCCAGCAATCAGAGACTCAACCTTGCAGCCAGTCAAACACCTGGAACTAATTATACTGGTGTATTTAAGGGACATTCAGACCTGCAGACTCTGCCTTGGTGTTGTGTTTCTCTTCCTGTCTGATTCTCTGCTGACCCTGCTCTGATCCCTGGCTTGTCTGACCATTCTCCTCTGCCTGACCCTCTGTACCATGCTGCCCGCTACCTGCTGAACCTGGCCTGTGACCCCGACCATTCTCCGCTTGCTCCCCCTGTACCTACCTGCCCGACTGATATTGACCCGGCCTGCCTGACGACGCTTGCATTGTATGTACTGTTATCTGTGGGTGGTTGGTTTGGTTTGTTTGCACTGTGTTATGTTTTAGTATTGCACTGCGTTTATGTTTGTATGGTTAGTGTTAATAAATTACATTGTTTATAACATATCTGTGCCTCTGCCCGGAGTCCAGCCCGGTGTGCCTTTGCCCGGTGTGTCTCTGCCTGGGGGCCCGGCACCCGCCGCTCCGCCTGAGGGCCCGAGACCTGTCGCTCCGCCTGGGGGTCCGGCGCCCGCCGCTCCGCCTGAGGGCCCGAGACCTGTCGCTCCACCTGGGGGTCCGGCGCCCGCCGCTCCGCCTGAGGGCCCGAGACCTGTCGCTCCACCTGGGGGTCCGGCGCTCGCCGCTCCGCCTGCAGGCCCGAGACCTGTCGCTCCATCTGGGGGTCCGGCGCCCGCCGCTCCGCCTGAGGGCCCGAGACCTGTCGCTCCGCCTGGGGGTCCGGCGCCCGTCGCTCCGCCTGGGGGCCCAATGCCTGTCGCCCCGCCTGGGGGCCCGATGCCTGTCGCCCCGCCTGGGGGCCCGATGCCTGTCGCCCCGCCTGGGGGCCCGATGCCTGTCGTCCCTCCTGGGGGCCCGGCGCCCGCCGGTCCGCCTGGGGGCCCGGCGCCCGTCGCCCCGCCTGGGGGCCCGACGCCCGTCGCCCCGCCTGGGGGCCCGACGCCCGTCGCCCCGCCAGGGGGCCCCGACGCCCGCGTCGCCCCCCGCCCGGGGGCCCGACGCCCGTCGCTCCGCCCGGGGGCCCGTCGCCGGTCGCCCCGCCCGGGGGCCCGATGCCGGTCACCCCGTCCGGGGGCCCGATGCCTGCTGCTCTGCCCGGGGGCCCGGTGCCTGCTGCTCCGCCCGGGGGCCCGGTACCTGCTGCCCCGCCTGGGGGCCCGGTGCCTGCTGCTCCGCCTGGTGGCCCGCTGCCTGCTGCGTCGCCTGGTAATCCGATGTGCCTCTGCCCGGAGTCCGGCCCGATGTGCCTCTGCCCGGAGCCCTGCCCGATGTGCCTCTGCCCGGAGTCCAGCCCGATGTGCCTCTGCCCGGAGTCCTGCCCGATGTGCCTCTGCCCGGAGTCCAGCCCGATGTGCCTCTGCCCGGAGTCCTGCCCGATGTGCCTCTGCCCGGAGTCCTGCCCGATGTGCCTCTGCCCGGAGTCCAGCCCGGTGTGCCTTTGCCCGGTGTGTCTCTGCCCGGTGTGCCTCTGCCCGATGTGCCTCTGCCCGGAGTCCAGCCCGATGTGCCTCTGCCCGGAGTCCAGCCCGATGTGCCTCTGCCCGGAGTCCAGCCCGATGTGCCTCTGCCCGGAGTCCAGCCCGATGTGCCTCTGCCCGGAGTCCAGCCCGATGTGCCTCTGCCCGGTGTGCCGCTGCCCGGAGTGCCTCTGCCCGGAGTCCAGCCCGATGTGCCTCTGCCCGGAGTCCTGCCCGATGTGCCTCTGCCCGGTGTGCCGCTGCCCGGAGTCCTGCCCGGTGTGCCAGTCTTTGATATCCCGCCAGTTACCAGACCCGGGCGGTGGAACATTTTGCCCAGCTAGGACTGTTTGGAGCGTCCTGAGGCCGCTCCTTGAGGGGGGGGTACTGTCAGGAATGGACTGGCCAGCAATAGTGGGACTCAGCTGCCTTATGAGCTGCAGTACCAGGGCTGGCCAGCGGGTGCTCCCAGCAATCAGAGACTCAACCTTGCAGCCAGTCAAACACCTGGAACTAATTATACTGGTGTATTTAAGGGACATTCAGACCTGCAGACTCTGCCTTGGTGTTGTGTTTCTCTTGGGCCCTGTATCCTGTTCCTGCTCTCTGTTCCTGTCTGATTCTCTGTTGACCCTGCTCTGATCCCTGGCTTGTCTGACCATTCTCCTCTGCCTGACCCTCTGTACCACGCTGCCCGCTACCTGCTGAACCTGGCCTGTGACCCCGACCATTCTCCGCTTGCTTCCCCTGTACCTACCTGCCCGACTGATATTGACCCGGCCTGCCTGACGACGCTTGCAATGTATGTACTGTTATCTGTGGGTGGTTGGTTTGGTTTGTTTGCACTGTGTTATGTTTTAGTATTGCACTGCGTTTATGTTTGTATGGTTAGTGTTAATAAATTACATTGTTTATAACATATCTGAAGTCTGCGTTTCCCTGCGTCAGTCACACACCTCTGGTCATACCCGGGAGCCCTGACAATGTGGTCTGCACACTCGGCCTGTCAGTGGCAGAGCTTGTGCTTGGAGTTACCAACGGCTTTTGAGGCTTTCTCCGGCCAGCAAGTCTGTACCATCCATGTTGCTCCATTCACCTGGCCTTCACAAGCTGATGAGCTGGGACACATATGTTAAAAGCTTTAAAATGTCATTGTCATGTGAGTGCATTTATACTGGTTTTACTTTCTCTTATTAAAAATTATTGTTTCACTATGCGGCTCGTGCTCTCTCTCTCTTTATTTTTTGTTTTTGTATTTTGGCACAAGGATTTAGATGAATATTCAAGAAGCTATGGGACACTGCAGTCATACTATTAGAACATAGGAATACTTGCCTAATAGTCTCTGGTATAGGTGAAATACAATAAATGCAGCAGCTCCTTTGTGTAAGGTCATGTGGCTCTGTTCTCTGTGTATCTGCTTCCTGGAAACTCCCCTTTTATATAACATCAACTTTTTGATAAGCAAAATCTATACAGATACAAATACAGACAGTAGAGGGCAGATCCCTATGGTAGTTTTAAACAACTCTTTATAAAATGAGGTAAAATAACCTAATGGGAGAGAATAGTATCTTTAAATACTTTAAGATCGCCTCATAGCAGACGTACTGCTACGGGGCGGTTGAAGTGTGCAAAATCATGGAAATATACATTTTTTAGCATTTCCGGGTAGGGGTCATGCGCGCACACCGCCTTACCTGTGCTACCATTGGCTCCTGAGGATATCAATCATTGGGTCCCGGATGGGAATCAGTGATGGTCAGCGAAGCTGAGAGGGGAGAGATCTGTGTGTAAACAACACAGATCTCTCTCCTGTCACCATGGACATGCTGCTTTCTCTCTTTGGACAGCAGAGAGATAGAAAGCAGCAGGTATCCCTAGTAAAACACAACACAGTTTACATAGAAAAACCACACACTGTTAACCCTTTGATCTCCCCAGATGTTAACCCCTTCCTGCCCAGTGTCATTAGTACAGTGTCAGTGCTTTTTATTAACACCGATCACTGTATTAGTGTCACTAGAGATGTCAGTGGCAGTTAGTCAGTTCCCACTCAGTGTCAGAATGCCCGCTGCAGTCCCACTATAAGTGATATAGAACTGATCGCCGCAATTACTAGCAAAAAAATAAATAAATAAAAATTCCAGTATATACTGTATACCGTCATTTGTAAATGCTGTAACTTTCACGTAAACCAATTCATTTACACTTATTGGGATTTTTTTTAGCAAAGACATTAAGCAGAATACATTTTGGCCTAAATTTATGAAGGAATTGTACTTTTTTAATTTATTTATTGGATATGTTTTATAGCAAAAATTCAAAAATATTCTTTTTTTTTATAAATATGCAGTCTTTTTGTTTATAGCGCAAACAATAAAAAACACAGTGGTGATCTAAAGAAAGAAAGCTCTGTGGGACAGCTTTTGTGGGACAAAATTACATAAATTTTATTTATGTACAGCCTTGCATGACTGCGCAATTGTCAGTTAAAGTAACGTAGTCCTGTATTGGCAAAAAACGGGCTGGTCATGAAGGGGGTAAATCTTCCAGAACTGAAGTGGTTAAAGTGGGAAGCCAGTCCTGGTAAGTTTCCTACTGTTTAGGGTGGATTTTGACTAATTTTCTGTTGTGTCTTAAGTACACAAAATGAAGGGAAATCTCCATAGTGGGAACACCAACAGAAATAAGAACCTGACAAAGGTTGTAATGCTTCTATACTCCATTCAAAATGAAAAAAAGATTTTGACTGTGAATGATCAGTAGTGATGCAAAATGAGTGTCTTTGGCTGCTGACATTTTACAATTATATTAAAAGGAATTAGTAATGAACTAAATTATCTGTATGCAGAGCCTAAGATTGCATACATTGCAAGATTGCAGGTTACTACAAAGTCTTGGGCAGCACACTCTGAGAGGCCGTATACTGTATATGTGCATGGCCATCGGAAGGAATTAAAGAAAAACAAAAAAAAATGAACCTTTAGAACCACTTTAAGTTAAGTCTCTCATCATAATGTGCTAGTTCTGCAATGCATACTAGCACATTATGACATTATCTTTCAGAGGACATTTTTTTTCCTACACACTTTACTACCACTTCAAAAATTACAATTGTCATGCACTAAAAATATCAGCATGCATTCAAAAGTTATGTACAACAAAACAATTACCTGTAAACTATTGTTGGATGTATGGGAAAAAATATATTAAGAATTTACAGCAGAAAATGGATTCAACTCATCCGAGCAGATATGAAGAGCAGGGTGGAGTTGCCATGACACAGCAGAAACCATACTAGGTGTGACTTGGCAAAGATGACTATAAATCAGGGTTAATACCTCAAATGAGCAGAAGAGTTAAACTTCTCTGTTGAATCCCCAGCAACAGCTAAACCTCATCGCTAAAATGGTCCATTGGACAGCCGAAGAGAAATCTGCCATCACCTCAACATGGTCAAAGGTCAACCAAGAGCAGGATGGTGCTGATGCCCTGACCAGGTAAGCAAAATGTTTATCTTTTACTTAATAAAAGCGATGTAACATCAGACATGGTCTTTCTATAGCTGTAATTATAAAATGTAGCAGGACTAAAATCTTTAAACGTAGCTGTAAAATGTATTTCATACATTTTTGCACATATAAAGCTTCTGTCTTTGTAACATACTGCTTTATGGGAGCTTCAAATAATTACAGAAATTGTGCCCAATGAATCATTGATGAACATGCCATTAACAAACTGATCATTTACCTATCCTTTAGGCTATTTATCGTGTATCCCTGGACCCAGAGGTATTTCAGCAGCTTTGGGAACCTGTCCAGTGCTAGTGCCATCTCTTCTAATGCCAATGTCCGTGGCCATGGCAAGAAGGTGCTCGGAGCCGTTGGAAACGCTGTTCAGAATATGGATAACGTGAAGGGCACTCTGGCTAAGCTCAGCAGAGAACATGCTGTTGACCTCCATGTGGATCCCGAGAACTTTAAGGTAAGTTTATTGCAATTCTTTTGCTGTTATTGCAGAAATTACAGGGTTAATATTTTATTATGAAAAATATATATATTTAGGAGTGGAGACAGCTGTATAGAACCAGAGTATACACAGTGTCCACAGTCAAACAGACCAAATTATTAATTATATTATGATTTTTAAGGATACTGGAAAGTCATAACACCATTTAAATTTTCTAAATCTGTTTTGCTTGCATTACACATACAATGTAATAATTGTATTTTAGCTGAGCAAAACATTTTCATAAGATTATGCACATCTTTTAGTTTATTATTCATTTACATGACAGCATTCCCACACTTGAATATTTATTCAATTTCAATATACAGGATATATGTCTCTCTGATGGTGATATTTACTGTATGTGGATCTGTGTATGTATATGAATATATACACTATATACATACTATATATATACATATACACTGTATATGAACTATTGGTATTGATGCTAAAAAAAAAAGACATATATACCTGTATGAAAATGTTTTTGTTTCTAATTAAATACAATGTTTTGTTTGTATGTCTAATAAAAGAAAAACAATTTTAGAAAAGGTAGATGGTGTGACTTACTGGTATCCCTTAAAGATCCCAACATAATGAATAATAGGGTGTGTTTAAATATAATACTAGCTTGTCAAGAGTAGAGTAGCAAATGTTTGGTTAACTCTAATAACTTAAAACCCAGAAATTATGTACGGTATTTATATTTTTGTATTTATAACAAATTACTAAATTCCAGACCCACAAAGCTGTGTTCAACATTAAACATGCTCTCAGATTTCAGAAAAGTATAGAAATAATGAATTTTACTGTATTTTAATACATTTGCCATTCTGGCATGAATACAAGATGGCTGATTTTGGTAGACCATTCCTTTTCAAGTGTTAAGCAGCAGATCCACACAAAATGTTGTTAAGTGTTTTATGTTACTGGTAATTTATTTGGCCTTGTTGAACAATAGGGTATGACAAAACAAAATATAATTTAGTCATGGCTTTTTTGTTTCCACAGCGTCTTGCCCAAATGCTGGTGATTGTCTTGGCTGCCAAACTTGGAGGTGCCTTCACCCCTCAAGTCCAGGCTGCCTGGGAGAAATTCAACAACGTTTTGGTGGCTGCTCTGAGCCATGGATACCACTAAGTCCACATTTCAAAATGCAGAGACTTAACATCATTACTTGCTGAAAATGCCATTGTAATCATTCATTTTCAATAAAGCTTTCAATGCATAAATCAAATGTGTTTTTAATTATTAATATTCAATTATCAACACACAAACCGTATCTTTTACCAAGAGTCTGTGGGAATTATGGGTTTATAAAATGATTCATATTTATTATTAATATAGTAAAATATTTAAACAATCCTAAGAGGTATATAGAACACTCGTTCTCAAGTAATACCTATGTGAACTAAATCTAAATGTGCCCAGCTGCTGCTCAAGAAATGTACCTCCTGTACACTAAGTATGAAAAACTATAGCAGCAACCTACAAAGTTTTATATAAAATTTAAATACATCAGAATAAGCATGACTAACAAAAACCTTGAAGTAAAACATAAACAATGTACAAAATAAGTGAAGAATTATATAAAGTGCATTAAGTAAATGTGACACAACACTTAGCAAAGTGTAAGTTTAACTGTTTTTAAAGTGAAATGGTGCCACTCTGTGCTGCAAGCTCCAAAGTTCATAAGAAAAAATATATTAAAAAACACACACAAAATGTGCCTATAACAATAACAATATAGGTCGCAAACACAAAAAAAAGATATCCCCTCCAATATAAATATCAAAGTAACAGTGTATTGCACTCACTTGAAAACATATAATGGTGAAAACAAAAAATTATAAATGAACACAGTGTTTGAATACAAATCAATAAATCCCAATGTGCAATCTAACTAACAAAAGAAAAAGAACAGAGGAGATTTATACTGATAAATCTTAAGAAAGTGTCTGGTGAAGTCCCATCAAGTGCAAAAATAGTGCTTCAATCACTCTTCCAAATGTATAGTGTAAAGGGTGTGTGCTCAGCATGCAGCCTCACCCAAAGTGACAACCAAATGGCCGCTTACCAACTCACATTGACCATCTTACATTCAGAATGGTCTCACAGAGCTCTAGTATTGCCTCATGGATGTCAATAGTCTTTCACAGCTCATAAACGAAGCCACTTTTCCAACGGTAATATCTAAATATAATTGGTATATTCATGAAAGATAAACACACAGGGGCCTCTCCATGGTGTATTTATTACAGGTAAAAGTGCGCTCACATTTGAATAAAATCAACCCTCCTACTGACGTCATCATGCTCCCACAAAAGTGTTCACTGCAAGCCGGCTTGGTGACTATTAGCTTTGTGCATTGATTTTATTCAAATGTGAGTGCACCTTTATTTGCAATTAGTGTTTTAAAAGATGTTTTACACTATGGAGAGCCCTCTGTGTGTTTGCATGAATATTCCAATTATATTTGCATACTACCATTGGCGAAGTGGCTACGTTTATGCGCTTTGAGAGACTACTTACGTCCATGAGCTCTCTGAAACCATTCTTAATGCGAGATGGTCAATGTGAGTTGGTAAGTGGGCACACCAAGTGAGGACACCATTCACATTATACATTAGAAGAGTGATTGAAGAACTATTTTTGCACTTGATGGGACTTTACCTGGACACTTTTTTATGATTTATTTGTATAAATCTCTTCTGTTCTTATTCTTTTGTTATTTAGATTGTACATTGAGATTAACTGATTCAAACACTGTTCATTTATATTTTTTTTGTTTTCACGGTTATATGTTTTTTAGTGAGGCAACACACTATTACTTTGATATTCCAAAGTTCATACACATATGCAAATGTGAACAACAAAGTCTTCCAAGGAGTGCCAATATACTGTATTTCAGTGCCATTTCTGGGTCGTAACACATGTGCTCTGGAGTGCCCCTTTAGAGTGCTCACTCACAGGGCTATATTGACCACTTATCAAAATATTAAAATGCCACCTCCTTAAATCCACCAAATCTCTTCTCCTCCTTGAGTGACTCTAGGTGGGACTCTTGGAGAGTGACATCACTTCTGCTCCTTGTTGGAGCACTCTGGCTCCGGAGATTTAGGGAGCAGAGATGTTTCCTGGTACACTTAGCTGGTCAGGTCCAGGTGACAGAGAAGCACTATTATATGTGAATTAATTTTATTTGAATTTTAATTATTTTAAATAAAATGGTAAATGATGAGGTTTTCCCCTGGTCTTCTCCCATTCAAGCATGTCTGGGGATTGTTAAAAGCTGGTGCTTTGTCGCTCTTGTGGAGGAGAATTTATGGAGGTGGAGAGTGTTTTGCAAAAAAGAACATCTAGACCAGGGGAGGACTGACAACTCATGGGGCCCCCGGGCAATAGGAAATCATGGGGCCCCTGTGTCCTCACGCACACTCAAACCACACCCAAAAAAGCCTATGAAAGGTATCAGGGGCATCGTATGGGTCCCCCTACTGACCGAGTGGCTAAATGGTCAGTCCGCCCCTGATCTAGACCTTCTTATTTTGATAATAGGCCAATAGTGTCACGTGAGTGAGCACTCTAAATGGGAACTCCAGAGTACGTGTGTTGTAACCCAGTGTTATTGAAAAATTGGCACTGAAATATATTTTTAATTTATCATTCATTTGTATATGTTTATGAACTTTTGAGCTTGTAGCACAGAATGGCACCATTTCACTTTTGAATATCGATATAATAAGCTTGCACTTTGCTGAGTGTTGTGTCACCTTATCACAGTCACATTAATGCACTTTATATCAGTCTTCGCTTATTTTGTACAATGTTTGTTTTAGTTCAAAGTTTTTAAACATTTTTTTTCTGTATTAACATTTAATTAGCCTGTTATAGGGTAGCAATGAACTAAATGTGTATATATTTTACAGATCCTGCTGAAAAGCTACGGGGTAACCTATAGTATACCATTTAAATAGCCTATCCAAAAATATATAAGCTGAAATTGTTATACATACAGAAATAGGTGAAAATGCCTCCTAAGCACTATAATGTAATGTATAACATCCAGAGAAGGGAGCCCTGTATCCATGCTGTCCACCCAGTCATCCTAAAGGAGACCTCTGGATCCGGCAGATCATTACTACACCCAAACCTGATGACCTTCTGTCTTTGAGGAAAACCCACCATCTGCATGCTGTATATACCCCATCCAGTGGAGATATATATTTATATGCACATTTCCTATGTGCAGTCAGTGAGTGCGCATTTTTGCCATTTATTCCCTGTCACTGGCTTTGGAAGGATCTGCTGTTGTGGAAGTTATTATTTGTGCCATATATCACATTCAGACGAGTGGGACGATTTTATATCTAAACAAACTTTTATTTATGACCATTTGATTTCATTTATCATCCATATCTTTTAGCTCTGCACTTTATTTTAATTTATTTCCTCCTAAGCACTGCACATTCTGTTAATATTATTACGTTTCACAAACACAAATATGGGGTAACCCAAAGCATACAAATCAAACAACACATCTTAAAAATGTATATAAGCTGAAATTGTTATACAGTACATACTTATGGAGGAATAGAACTAAACGCCTCCTAAGCTCTGCACACTCTGACTAGCAGCTACAGAACACATTTAGCTGAGGTTACAACCAACACATTAACTAGTTAATCACTACTGGAAAAACATCTACTTTGAGGGGCTATTACGGAAGATCAAATATAAAGAAAAACATAAAATATAAAACTATATGCAATCAACCGCTTAAGGGAGAAGTGTGGCCAAAGCTCTTTTGGCCATATTTCTCCTGTGAATCACAGGACTGCACTTAGCTCTTTACTACTGTGTCCCAGATTCAGGTGACAGTGGGCTATAGGCCACTGGGGGCTAGCGTCACAGAGCCGGTCCAAGCTCTGCAAGGATCCTGACAATAATTATTATTATAATTACATTATTATTATTATTAGTATTTATATAGCACAAACAGTTTGCTCAGCGCTGTACATTTCAATGGGAGACAATACCTGAGACAGTACAGTAACAATACAATTAAATACACAAGGGGTTCGAGAGCCCTGCTCCTTGGAGCTTACAATCTAGGAGGGAGGGGAGAGTGGTACAGGAGGAAATAGCTGTGGGGGATGGAGTGGTGGGCGGAGCGGAGGAGATCAGCAGTTAGGTGAGGGCAGGGTAGGCTTCTCTGAAGAGATGGGTTTTCAGGGTGCGCCTAAAGGTAAGGAGGGTAGGTGACAGTCTGATGGATTGGGGTAGTGAGTTCCAGAGGATTGGGGAAGCCCCGGAGAAGTCCTGGAGGCGGGCATGGGAGGAGGAGACCAGGGAACTAGAGAGTAGGAGGTCTTTTGAGGAGCGCAGAGTGCGTTTTGGGTGGTAGATGGATATCAGGTCACTGACGTAGTTTGGGGCAGTGTTATGAACAGCTTTGTACGTCAATGTTAGTATTTTGAATTTTATGCTTTGGGCAATCGGAAGCCAGTGGAGGGATTGGCAGAGGGGGGTGGCGGATACGGAGCGGTTGGTAAGGTAGATGAGTCTGGCTGCAGAATTCAGGGTAGACTGAAGCGGGGATAGTCAGAATCCACCCAGATGCCTCACTGGGAGCTAGCTCAGCCTCTCAGCATGCTGCTGAGAGCCTGAGCCCTCCGATCCTGCCACCTCGACAGCCTGGCACTCCACTGAGCGCTGAAGGGGCAGAACAAAGAGCGGTGGCTCACAGTCACTGCTCTGTACTTAGAGTGGACTCAAGCACTGAGAAATCAGTGGTTGCTCAGTTCTCTGTGTAAAGCCAGTGGGGCACAGCTGCAGCCATCTGAGCATGTATGTTTGTTTTGTGCGATTCCCACACTTCTCTTTTAACAAATATAACTTTATTTGCAGAATAGTTTTAAAGACACAAAACTCATACTAAAAACATACTGTAGCCATGCCTATTAAAAACAAGCTCTACCATAAACAATCCTTTTGAGAGGAAAAATACATGAATACATCCTAAAGCATGAACACAATATAAACTGACTCCTCATAATAAGTGTATTAAACATATACAGGTATATTATAGAGGATAAAAAGAGGATAATCATATAGAAACATTCATAAAATGCTTGTAT